TGCTTGGAAGCTGTCTCCTCCACTTTTCCTTTCTTTTTTGTCTGTCTGTGTTTTTCTCTCCTGTCACAGAACCAGCAGAGAGCACCTCTCACTAACACACATGAAGAGTGCTTAGCTCTCCTTTAACATTCCCCCCTTTTCAATAACTTTCTACCTGCATTTTTGGGCAGTACTGCTCCCACCCTCCAAAGGGACATAAATGACGGAGGAGTTAAAGACAGCTTCTCTGATGTTTGGCTATCTGGGGATTTTTGACTGCTACAACCCCACACTGCTCACAGCAAAAGGAAACCAATGAGCTGAGCTCATTGCTGGGGCTCACTAAGCCTGCAGTTGGGCAATAAAACATCGAATCATAGAAACATTAAGGTTGGAAAAGACCTCTAAGATCACCCAGTCCAGCCCCAACCCACCCCCCCCATGCCCACTGACCACTTAGTGCTGCATCTCCGTGACTCTTCAACACCTCCATGGACAATGCCTGCACCTCCTCCTTGGGCAGTCTGTGCCCATCCTGAGCTTCTCCTCGTGCAACTTAAAGCCATTGAAAACACTTTGCCTTCCTCCCCATAGCACCGGTCCGGTTGGTGCTAACCCTGCCCCAAGGGCTAGATGCAGGCTGTGCTGGACAAACGGTGTCCTTCAGCAAGGCCCCCTACCGCACACAGAACCCTTCCAAAAAGAGTTCCCTGCCAAAAAGAGATGGGCAGCCCTCACCGCGCTGCATAAGAACGTGGGAATAAAACTCCGTGAGCGGCTCTGTGGGAAACTCAGTGCCTGAACACGGCTTGGGCTCTCGGGAAGCTTAGGGAAGCAGGATGAGGGAATGGCAGGAAGCTCCCTGGGAGGGCCGGCCAGCGCCCGTCCCAGCTCACACCATTGTGCTTTGTTCGGCCGCCACAATGGTGCGAGCAGAGCGGGCGCATCAGCCTTCACTTTGAATTTCCTGCTTTTCGTCAGTTCGCATCCTGGGCAATGCTGTTTGAAACACAGCTCATTAAGGAGCTCGCAGAGAAGAATGCCCTGCCATACCAGCATGTGCCCGGGCTGCCCAGCAGCTTCCCGGTGCCAAAGCTCTAGCTCTAAGGAGGCGTGGGCTATTGAGATGCAAAGAGGCGTGCTGTGCTCCTGGCACGCCGACGGAGAGTTTTCCTCCTGCCTCTCCCCGGCAGTACCCGTGCATTTCTCTTGCCCAACCCCACAGCCACCTGTGGGCGAGCTCCGCGGAGCTGAGGGGAGCAGCAGGAATTTCATAAAATCACAGACTCATTGAGGTTGGAAAAGGCCTCTAACATCACCCAGTCCAACCATCATCTCAGCCCCACCATGACCGCTAACCATGACCCTCAGTGGGGTTCATCCTCATAGTTCTCAACACCTCCAGGGACGGCGACCCCACCAGCTCCCTGGACAGTGCACTACCACTTTCTGAGAGAAATTTTGCCCATTTTTGGCTAATATCCAACCTGAGCCTCTCGAGGCCATTCCCTCTCATCCTATCACTGTTACCTGTGAGAAAGAGGCTGACCTCCCCCTCACCACAACCTCCTTTAGGGAGTTGTAGAGAGCCATAAGGTCTCCCCTGAGCCTCCTCTTCTCCAGACTGAATAATCCCAGTTTCCTCAGCTGTTCCTCATTTGTCACAGCAGTGGGAACAAAAGCCAGCCCGGAGTACACTGCTGTGCCACAGCATTGGCTCTCCCCTCTGGGGATCCAGAGCTGTTGCACCACACTGCTGCAGGCAAGTCCCATGTCATCCCAGCAATGCAAAAGCGTGCTTGTGGGATCATCCATAAAATATTTACTGCCCTCACGTGAAGAAGAAAAAAGCCTGCATAGTATCAGTGGAATCCCTGATAGCCAAACACTGAATTATTCACAAGTGCAAGTGACATCCACAAGAATGCTTGGGCTGCAAGATACAGTTAATACAGGTCATGAAATTGATGACTTCTGTTTCAGAATTTGCTCTGATACACTGGTGAGTCCATATAAATCAGGTGAGATGACTTTGCAGAAGAGGAGCTAGAGCACCCACACTTTTCTCAGTGCACACAGCTGCCTGAAGATACACCCATAGAGCCATTGCTCATCAGTCTAATCTGGCTGCTGTTCCAGAATGGTATAGACCTCTCTGTTCCATCTGAAAGTCCCAGCAGATGCCTTGGATGTCCCGTGGCATCTCCAGTGATGTGAAATACACACAAGACACAGAATGGAGCCTACCTGACCGCTGGCCCCAGCAGAGCTCCCATCCCCACACAGGGAGCTACATCCCAGTCCTGCAGCGCTCCTCAAGCAGCTGTGTCCTTCGCCTCAGTTCTGCTGCAGAGCTGGATATGTAGATGTGCTGCAGCACTTTCCACATGCACTAAAGCTCTGCCTGTCAGCTAACCTGTAGTCGATAGAGTAGCTTGGCCATTGAACCCCAACTAAAAGAATGTGTGCTTCCAGACAGATCTCTTCTGTCCAATCTGACGTATATCCATTGATGTGATGGTTGTTACTTTGGTTTGGATAGCTTCTGTCCTCTTTAGCCCCCTCTCTACCCCATACATAGCTGAACATTCAGCATAGCCCACCACATGTGCCTCTTAAACTCCTATATCCCATACTCCACTCTTGAAGCTCTGTGACAACTGTCTGAAGTTCCCAAACACTGCAGCAGCATTTAGCAACCATCCCTCAAAAATCAGTGCGGCTGAGCAAGGCTCTGGACAGTCTCAGTTCTGGCTGCATTGTGGTAATAATAATTAAAGAAAAAAAAAAAAAAAACCACAAAAAAGTCCATGCCAGTACTTCAGTGCTGTCCTCTCCATGCCCACCAGTGCTGTCTGCTCATTTCCTCTTGAGCACAGACACACAATGTATGCCTAAAACCTTCAGCCGAGCCCAGTTTACAAATTCTAGTACAGCTGTAGGTTTTAAGAATCAGCCAAAATTAATTATGGCAGATTAAGGAACAGCAATGCAGTGCAATGGCCTCTTGTTTAATGCAAGAATCTGATCCAAACCAAGCAATCCCAGCCTCCCACTAAGCTCTTGCTGTCATCTTGTTCCCTATCTCTGCTGTTCTCCTGCTGAGCACCATCATCTGAACACAGTTTATTCAGATGTAGCACACTCTCGCTCAGCAGCTTTGCCTTGGCTGAGACACTGCTCTCTTGAACCATCAGACCGATCAGGTTCCATGTGCTGCAGATGGGGGAAGGGTACTCTTGGACTAGAACAGCCAAGAATGCAAAAGAGTGACGTACATGGCAATAGGCTTTTTATCCCTTCAGTGCTCTAACAATTTGATCAAGGTGGATAAATCAGAGCATGCTCCCCCTGAGCCTTATCATTACACCTATTCGGTTGTTAATTTGCTCCTTTCCCCTCCTCCCTATCTACTCTGCAGTAGCTGTTAGTTGGTAAAGAAGCTGAAGGAACAATTAAGATGCTTCAGAAAAAGCAGACAATTTCCCACATGCAGAGCTGAGTACCCCACAGATGTGACTCAAGATGCTCACATGCTGTTTTCAGGCAAGCGTTCCCAAGGGTCTAGACAAAATTATAAGGATGAGGAGTTTCAGCAGAAATCAGGTTATTTTTAAGTGGAAGGGCTCTAGGGGGTATTAGCAGGGCTCCCTGAAAATGCCATCAACTGCTTGCATGGGGGATCTCACAGGTCAATTGTTTGTAATTAAACAAACTAAGCCTGTACTCAGACTAGACAGGGACTCCGGCAGTAAAGCAACAATGGGGCCAACATCAAGTTGCCTTGGTTGTAAAGCATCTGACGCCTCTCAAAGGCAGAATGTGAACGTGATGCCTGCAGGGAGATCCACCCCCAGAAGACATTGGCAGGTCCCAAGGGCCAGGGTTTGACCCGGATGCTTCAGTCACTGTGCTTCAGCCAAGGAGAAAACCAGGGAGGGAGAAGTGCTGGACGGGCTGCAGCCAGCTCTCAGCTGACACTGGATGTTGCAGCTTTACTGAAGCATAAGACCTCTGTCCAAAATGAGGGTCCAAGAGAAATCTTTCTTTCCACTGTCCCCGTCCTCAATCTATCCCCAGCATCTGTCATTGCACAGAAGAGGATGGAGGCAGCTGAACCGGAATTATGCTAAGCAGCTTGCTGAGACAATTGCTGTCTTTTGGCTGTAACAAAGACTGGACAAATGAGGAAGATGTTTTCATTAGCTGCAACTCACCTGAAACACAACCAGCAGCCAGCTCTCACAAGGTGGCCTGGCAAAGACTCAAGAAATGAAATCCAACAGCAGATTATAAAGACAAATACCAAACAATTAAGTTTGTGATGATCCACCACCTTCTATGAGTCTTCAATATCCAGTGCCACGATCTGCTGTTCTCAGGCACACATCTCTCAGGCATTCATGCTCTGCCAATATTTTAAGACATGCCAGTAAAGCATATTTGAATAGGATTCAACCTGATGAAAAGCAAGTTGTTACTTTCAAAGGAGGTTAGTGACCCCACGAATTGAGCTGATGGCTTCGGTCCAGCAGATGACAATCCATTAAATTGAAGAAAAAAAAATCACCACTACAATCCTGACTGCCAGTAAAGGTGTGAAAGAAAAACGTGGCTCCTCCAGGATGTGCACAATCATCTTTCTGGCAGCCTGAACGGGTGCGGTTTTTTTTGCCTTGCCTTTTCATAAGGCAAAAATATTTAGTCTCTGCTGTTTTCAGTGAAACATTTTAGACACACTAAGCTTATGAAGAGACACATCCCACTTGAACCACATTTAAAACACCTCTTCCTTTCCAGTCATCAACTCTCGGGGAAGAAAAGAAGAAGAAGAAATATTAAGCCAAAGCCCCATAAACAGATTTTTTTCGTCTGAGTGCAAGATGAGCCTGGGAAAAGCAAAACAATTCATCTACCCCAGAGTGGATTGCAGGGAAAGGTTAAGGAATAATAAAGAAGGATTTAGATCACACCACTTTAAACGCATTTATAAGGCAGAAATTCAACACTCAGATAACAAACTCAGTTCACTTTTTACTTCCTCTCTCCTTCCCCTCAACCCCTTAAAGATGCCATACCCTTGCATTTGTAAATTACTTTAATTTAAATACTTCCAGGTTAACAAAACATCTTAACTTTGACATGCTCCAAGTTACAAAACAGAAATAAAACCTCTTGACAAAGGGTAGGAAAAAAATATATCCAAGCCCAAACCCCCTTTTCTAAGCTGGAGTTTATGGTCTGTGAGCTGGCTGCCCTCCAGAGTCTGACACAATGTCTGGAGCACCCAGAGCAGCTGGAATTCATTTTCTTCCTTCAAATCTATGCACTTTCATATGAAGTTGTGTTTTGGCACTGCTGCGTAAGAAAGAGTTCAGTGCAAAAAGTCTAACCCCAGCCATGTTTCTTTGCAACCCAACGCTTGCTGAGCAAACGACAAAAAAAAAAAAAAAAAAAAGGACAAGGAAAAAAAAAAAGAAAAGCCCTTTCCCTTCTCCCACACATACACACACGACTGTACCAAATGGGTCTATTCATGGCTGCTCATAAAAGGGTCACAAGGAGAAATGTTTGCAGATAAAACCAACACTTTTGTTTTTTCTTTTAAACACACACCATGGAGGCCTCTGGAAGGAGCTGGGAACGTCCGAGCATCAAAGTTCTGCTGCTCCTTTCCACCTCCTGCTAGCACTGCTCCATGCAGCCCCACGAGGAGCCCCTCCAGCTGATTGCTGGGGTCCAGACCCCTCGAGCCACCTTCTCCGAGCCAGAGCCTCTGGGAGCCTCAGGTCATGGTGGGTTGGGAGCAGGAGGGAGATGTCCAAGGTGCTCCTGGGTGCCCCGTCACAAAATTGTACACTGGAGTTTGTGGGAGCCTGTGGCTCGATCCCCTCTCCATTTGGTCTTTTTCTTCTTCTTCTGGCTTTTCTCCGGGATCTGTTGCCTGTTTTGGGAGGGAGGGAGGGAGGAAGGGGAATAAGGTGAGGCCAGCAGCCACAAGGCTGGGTCAGACACCTGACTGGGGCATAAACACATATACTCCCATACACCCCTTCCACCAACACGTGGACTATCACACCACACAGCTAACAATCATCGCCTCTGTTTTCAAGGAAAGAGGAAAGCAGCCATATAGAAACATCAAGGCTAAGAGTAGGGACGTATGTCCTGAGAAGTGCCTCCAAGTGCCCTGGGAGAACTGCTACCTGCCTCTCTACTAGAGGGCTACTCAACTCACTTGGGAAACAGGGACGCTCCAAGAAATGCAACATCAACCATCACCCAGAGAAGCTGTGGATGCCCCATTCCTGGAGGTATTGAAGACCAGGCTGGATGGGGGCCTGGGCAGCCTGATCTAGTGAATGGCAGCTGGGTTGGCATTAGGTGCTCTTTAATGTCCCTTCCAACTCATGGCATTCTATGGTTCCATGATTCATTCTACAATTCTGTGATACAGGATGCCTGTCCCGGAAGGATTTGGTTTCAGCTGGCACTGTCTCCTAGCCACTGATGTGGACATGGTTTTGCGTTTTGTTTTTCCATAAAAAGAAATGGCATCTGCTGCCAGCAAGGTTCCAGCCTCCCACGGAACTTGTGATGAGCTCCAGTGCACTGGGAGCGGGATGCGCCCTGTGCCCTTCTCTGTGGCTTTGCCCCAGGAAGATTCTGGCTGGAGCCACAGCCGTCAAAAACACAGCTGCCAGCCCACCTGTGCCATGCTGCAGAAGCCCTCATCAGTCAGGTGGGCTGTGGGCAACCTCATCTCATCTGCTGTTATGCTGGTGCCTTCTCCCTTCTCATTAAAAGATGAGGCACTGCTCAGTCATACTGTTTAAACAGAAATGATGGTGAAATGCTGCGTCAGATCCTCAACAGCTACACTGACAGTCTTGTGCCATCAAATATAATACTCAGTCTTGCCAAGCTGCAATAGCATCAAAAACTTTAGGGGAGCTGTACCTGATCACATCAGCCACTCAGCTCAGTCCAGCACTGCAATTCAACAGCAGGCTGTGTATTTCAAACACCTGACAGGCAGTCTGTGGACTTCAGTTTTACTGCAAGATAAACTACACAGACATAGGCAGTTTCCATTGACTCAGAGCCTAAATAACCAACCTGGAGCTTGAATAGTTTAAGATCAGCCTCTTTGCTATGCATTGTGCTAGGCATTAAGCTGAGCATTTGAACCAAGTTATCAGGACCAGAATGAGACAAATCTGGGGGACAAATCACATGGTGTCCTTGATGCCACAGAAAATTTCATATGGGTAGCAATAACCCTCACTGTAACTACTTTGGGGCATGAGGTAGATCACCTATACTTTAGGTTATGAAGTACATTTTCAGGGCTCAAAGTTAGTGCTGTATCATTACAGTGCTCCATCCAGAATGTGTCTGGAGTCACGTTATGCAGAGAAAGCAAACAGAGCCTCACCATCTTATTTTTGTTATGTTTCATTTTTTTTTTCCCCTAGAGTAGAATAGATTGTGGTAAGAGCTTGCTGTAACAAAAAGTAATATCTAGCCAACTAATGCTGAGTTCCAGAACAGTTGGGAAACAGTTTGGGACATTTCCAACTCTGCTCTGTAGTTCTCCAAAGATTTTCTGCCCCCTGCTTTTCAGATATGTGGGAAGAGTGGGCAGTACCATCTGCTTTTGATAGAGGCTGGCTCGAGGCTGTGCTAAGATATTCACAAGTACAGATACGTTGTGAATAAATGTCTCATGGTTTAATTGCCAAGCAAGGCACTTTGACTGCATGGTGGGGAGGAGCATTATTTCAGCTCAGCACCCTCCCAACACATGAAAAATGAAGGTCCAGAAAAACCTGGCAGACAACCCCTGCCAGAAAAACAAATCTTCTGAGAGATTTGAGGTTATCAATGAGATGCTAAGATGTGCATGCAGCTCTTTTCCTGCGAGGCAGCCAGAATTTTGGACAGCTGTACCTTGCCAACAGCAATGGGAGCTGGGTTCACCCAGAGAGCAGGCATTTGCCAAAATGAACAAAAGCAGCTCATGCCAGAACTGGGAACAAGCCTCTGCTGTCTGAGGAGGAAACCTGTGGCTTAGCCATTAGATCATGCTGTTTTTCATACAAAAAGGCTTAATTTTTTCCATTTAGTGAGCAGAAAATGGTAAAACTCACCTATGAAATTAAAAAAAAAATAGGCAGCTCTTTAAACTCAGAGCAACATGAGACCTTGAGATGAGAAAGCCATAAAAAAACACATTACTGGCTCACAGCTTTTAATATTGGCCTTTTAAAGCGAATTGTTGTAGTAAGCTTTGCTTTCTTCAGTGACTAACTTGTTTTTGGTCATGGTCACAACTAGTTCTCAAACTGTCTAGCACTGGTATCTCACAAAGGCAACATCCTGTTAGTTAACAGTCATGTGCACATACAGAACAAGGAAGATTACTAAAACCCAGAAATCAACTACTCCCAACCAGCCCATCTCACCCCCACCTCCCAAACGTTGCCTCCCCACTCTCCAGCCCAGGACTCCTGCATGTTCCATCCACAGGCACCAACTGCGACAAGTGTTACAGTTTACCTTATTACCCTTACGAGATCATGGAAGGCCTTGTCAACATTTAGAGGTGGGTCCTTGGCACTAGTTTCTATATACGGAATCTGAAGGAGAGAAGTGTACCACAAAAGAGGTAACTATCAGCTTGTACGTTGGAAAAAAACCACTTTCAAAATGAAAAACACTCTCCAGGATGGAGAAACGGGGTATCTAAGATACCAGAGAAGTACCAGTAAACAAAATGTTGTCATGACACTGCTGTCAACATCTTTATTCTTAAAGAAAGCTTGGATCTAGGGAAGAGTGATCACAAGACTCCATGTAGCCAGATGTTCTCTCTTCCTAGTTGTGTTTGTAGACACAGCAATTGCTGATGGTGATTGAAAGATGAGTACTTGCCAAAAATTCTTGTTTGCCACATCTTATTAGGATAGCGGCATGAATATTTCATGACTAAAATTCCCATTTGGTGTAAAATGATCTTCTTCTTCAAAGTCTAACAAACAGATGGAGCCTCCTAGAGCGCTTGTCCAGCATGCTGGCAGATTGATAAAATTGCCCTCTTATGAAGCATTTACACGCACATCCTTTTCCAAAGTGTGTACATACTGATGGGTGCAACGTGTTGAGCTGTAGTTTCAGTGTACTGGCTCTTACAGCAGTGAGTTTACTTGGGGAGGGAATGAATCTGCCCTGCCAAACTCTCATCGTGCCTTGTTTAGAAACACAGAGCAGTTTGCCATCCAAGCACAGCAAGCTGCCAAAAGGTCTCAGGCTTGTTTGCTCTTACCTTTACCTGTTCATTAAGCACCTCCTACGGGAGATGTTACCTCCCTCTGGGTATTCAAGATTTCTGGAATTTAGAGGTGATTAACAAATTATCGTGTGATCTACACCAATCCAAGAGCAACTTCTCAGGCTAAACAAGTGTGAAAAATGCAGAGCTAGAATGGTGGGCCAGATTTATATAGACTTCACAACCCTTTAACTACATTATCTTTAACAAGTCTATTTCATGCGGGCACCTGGATGTACTTCCTAACTTCTGACTCTGCTTTTTCAGTCCCAGAGGTTGTGCTTTCTTTCCTCATTTTGAACATTCACATTTCTCACTGTTTGCATACAGCTTTGTACACATGACTTTGTGACAGCCACAGATTTGCTGTAGCCTGGCATGCAGTAGAGCTTCTAGTTCCAGTAACGAACTGACCCTACTCCGAGGGATCTCTATAGCTACTGCTTTGTGGTAGACTAAAGCGCAATTGCAAATGTTCAATTCTAAGAAAAATACTTTAATTCAGCTCCACATAAGCAGGTAATTCAATTCTGAATGCCTGTAGTGGTACTTAAAGCAAGCAATTAAACAATTTTACAGACTTACATTATGTTTTGTTGCCATTTCTCTTCCCTGTTCTCTTGTAATTTTCCGTAAATGCATTAGATCAACTTTGTTTGCCACCAAAATCATTGGAAAGGACTCCCTGGAAAAAAGAAAATGAAACAGTTATTAGGAAGCTACAATACAAAACACTAAGTCTAAGTTTCACTTTCTAATACTGACATCAAGCATTTTCAGCTACAGATGTACCATGTAATTATAAGGAAATATAAGGATAGATCATACAAACATATATCAGCCCCCACATTGAACTACTATGCACGTTCATAAAAATTTACCTTGACAACATGCACACATTCACCCTTATTTCACAGGGATTTCAGGAGCTTATTAAATGCCATCATAATGCTGAGTAATGGAGTGAACTACAGAGTTAGTCTGCCACTATAGAAGGAAATTAGGCATGGAAGCAAATCTTGAACAAAGAAACAGGACTCTTTTATAACAGTTAAGGCATCTCAATAGCAGCATACCTTATAGCTGCTCATCACTGCAAGGTAAAAACAAAAAAGGTCACAGGAATTGCTGTCAGTTCATTTCCTGTGGAGAACAGCGCAATGCTTATCCACTCTAAACAACCATAGGGGAAGAAAAGACAGACTTGGAGTTCACACTTAGGGTGACATCAAATTGGGAAGAAAATGATGGGACAATGACTGTAATTACCCCAAGACCAGCAATGGTAGCTGGGAGGAGGCTGTTCTGGGAACAAGAACCAGGTCTTGCTACATTTCCAGATGCTATTATCTACTATCTTCTGCTTCTTATCACTGAGCAAAAGCATGATGAACAACAGTTCTTCTGTACCAAAACCATCTTGCTTGGTATTACTACTCAGTATTTCTTTACCAGGAATATAAGTGATTGTCTTCAGACGCTACAAGGGAAGAGTTGTACAGGCTTTCCTGACAAGGCATGTGGATGATGGTAAAGGTCTGTGCAGCTCCAGGGATTACACTGAGCCAGATCGTGCTACGGGATGTGCTGGCAGCATGGCTCCTTCCTGCTGCACCTCCCATACGAGAGCCTCTCCTCCAGCTGCATTACGTAGAGCAAAGCTGTGCTGCATGGCCTTTACCCGCTGTTATGAAGGAAGAGGTAACTGCCAATAACTGATGTTATTGTTAATTATTCTCTTATTGTTAGCTTTAAGCCCTCCTAAAATGATTCTCACACAGCAGTGTTCTCTGCTGTAACAGAGCTGATTTTATTAGAGTAAGGAGCAGCTGGCTGCACTCACTGCTGTATAAAAGATTTCCCTGGATTTTCAAACGGAGTTTCTGTGTCATTTTTCATTGAGATGATAAGGGCTCCATCTTCTCCCTGGCATGTTGCCCATTGCTCTGGCTGGAAATGCACTGTACTGTACTCTGCATTTTAAATGGATCTTACAGTTATTGATTCTGATAACGTGCATTCGATTTAACATTTACACCTGAGCATTGATACATCTTGACTCTCTATTCTGGAGCAAAACACTTGCTTGGATTATTTGATTCCTTTTGGCTTGTGACATACTGGTAAGAGAAGGATTACATTTGGATAGCATCTCATTTGCCTTGTTTACACTGGGCATAAAACTCTGCGGGGACTTTGCTGTGAGTTGTGTGACTGCTATTTGGACAAGCTGCTACAGTTGGAAGCTTTACTGTAATTAAGATTATGGAGAGAAAAAGGACAGAGGTTTTAAGCAGCAGCCTGCAATTGCTTTAGATCTGGAGTCCTCAAAACTGACTGCTAGCTTGAAAACCTGGGCACATGCCTGGCAGGACGTTTTTTTTATTTATGCTGTTCAGAAAAATACTGCACAATCTCTGCATGAAGCATTACACTCCTGGTGTTATATGCTCCAGCGTGGGGAAACACAAGCAGTTTCACGAGGCTGTTTCACTTCCTGGTTCTCACATGCTGCTGCTTGTTTGTACGGCATAAGGAGGGCTAGAAGTTTCAGTCCAAAGCAAAACAACGAACACTGCATCCTATTTTCACAAAGCTAAGTTAGACAAAACCAACACCTGCTTGCAGCAGGTTACAGGAAACACTTTGCTGTCTTCCTCATCTTTCACAAGCAGGGTGAACTTGCCCTAAGCCAACAGTGAAGGAAACACCATCATTATCTGGGAGGCAGACTGAGTGACTGACGTTTTTGTTCATTTAGATGAAATCAAAGGGTGGATTTTCCTCTACTTTCTACTCTCACGGGCTCTGTTGTGGACGCTTTACTGGAAGAGCTGTCAGCTGTGAACCTCACATGATACGCATCCACCCTTCCTGTGGGGAAGTTATTCAGAGCTGTGAAAGGAAGCCAGCAACAAGGTCCGAACCCTCCGGTGGCTTTTCTTGATGACTTCCATAATTAACAGTTATTATGAACGGAACAACTAAATGTTTAAAAGCTGTAGACAAACAAGGCTTAATTCACACTCCACCTAGTGTGGAAGGACTCACCATCCCTTGAACTGGGAAGGGAAGAGGGAGTTATCTGAAAGACAAGACCCTGGTAGCTTCCTTTAGGTCTGTCAGGATGGGTTTGCTCACCATAGTAATCCCCCAGTGCTAATTTCTCCCACATGTACACAGGGAGTGGAGCAGCCGACCAGTCTTGCTTTCCCCCACCCTGCTGAGATGTTTCATTCATTGAAAACAGCTGCTACATAGCACAACGCATTAACTGAATTTATCCCCTTTTGAGAAACACAATTCCTCCCAACCTGAGGCATTTTCCCCTCCAAGATATTTGTTCCCAGGCCCATATCATGTAGAACCTTTTAAGGTTTGTTTGGTATGACCAGGCACTCTGGCTGGAGCTTTTCTCTTCCAAAACCATTTCACTTCACTATAGGATTCCATCCATCAAACTTTTCCAAACGTGAAATGCAAATAAGAAAGTTATCATAAAGGATATATCTTATCCCACATGCAGACCTACAAACCTACAAAGAGCACACAAGAAGCTGCCCTGAAACAAGCAGGAGGTGGACTTCAGGGACTGAAGCCTCTCCACAGCAGGGCTGGAGAGCGCCAGTGGTGCAGCACCCACCTGTCTTTGACTCTGAGGATCAGCTGGTGGAAACGGTCCACATGCTCAAAGCTGGCCTTGTCTGTCACAGAGTAGACTATAAGGAAACCATCTCCAGTCCTCATGTACTGCTCCCGCATAGCGCTGAACTCCTCCTGGCCTGCCGTGTCCAGAACTAGGACAAAAGAGAAAGCTGTTTAGTTACTGAGTGAAACAGCAGCTGCTGTGCTGCATGGCCCTTCTGCCTCTTGCTGGACATGTCCTCCCGAAGGCTGCAAGATTCTGTAAAAGCAAGTTGGAGGAAGAAAGTGCTATAGAAGAGGGCTATATGGATATTAGTTTCATTCAAAGTATCAAATCTTACCCACGGAACCTGGGGAACTACTTCTCTGGCAAGATATGGCTCTAAGTGTCCTGCAGCCCAGCCCTCTAACCCTCTTCCTCTTCCTGCTCTCACTGATCCTTGCATGGAAAAGCAAAGAGCAAATAAATGACAATTTAAATGTCAGGGACAACCCAGAGACTGTGGTGAAGCAGAGCTGGGAGATAACCTGGAGTGACAGCTGCATGCATTTTCCCTTTCTCACTGCCTGGATATTATTTCTACACAATTATGTGCTTTCAGAGCAAGATGGTACAGAGCAGGAAAACTGTTTTCACCTGTACAGCTGCAGAGTTAGCATCTACTGCCCACGAGTGACAAGGAAAGCCCTGGGCACTTGTAGATGGAGACAGTGTCAGGTATGTACTGCTGACAGAGCAGCAGGGCTTGATGCGAGTTTTTCTAGTCCAAGCAGGCCCACAGTCCTAGGAAGACACTCCCTGCAGGGTAACTACTCCAGCTGCCCTCATTTCCAGATGAGGCTTGGATAAAGCCCACTTCACTGCCAGCATTACATGCTGAATCAGCAAGGGTGGCCATGTGGGGACATGCTCAACATGCTACACAGCACACCACAATACTCTGTGTCTAGAGGAAAGGCAGCTGTGCTGGAGGAGGTACTTGGCAATGGCAGACCCCTTAAAACTCCTCAATTGTATTCATTTGCCTCCCCTCACTTCGAAAACCTGAAGGATAAAAAGAGCTTCTAGGCTCTTACAAAGAGCCCAAGATTGGGGCTTATTTGCTGAGTAGCTAGAACATACTACTCAGTCACGAGTATCCTTTCATAGCTTTCTATCCCACTTCCCTCCCTTAAGTCTAGGAAATAAGGGTCTCAGCTCAAAGGCATCCAGGCTGTTTCTAAGGACTGTAGAAAAAAAGAGAACAGGAAGGAAGAAGAAAAGAAGATAAAAGGAAGAAAAGAAAAACAACCCAAAGACACTGCATGCACTGGTGAATTTCTACACCCCAAGCAGAAGAGCTACTATGGAAGAAGGCCAAGACTACGCAGCTGGAATGGAAGAGGAAATCAATCCTTCCTATCCACCCAACCTGTAAGGAGAGGTTGGGCTGCCCTCATCTGACTCTTGAACCAGCTGGAAGCGATGGGAGCTGACTGCCAGCCCTACATACACTCCCTTCCCTTCTTACACACACACACGCACACACCCAATGTGTGGAGGAGTGGGACAGCTTGTAGCAGTGGGCTGGGCTCTCCTGCCATTCTCCCCCCTTCCTAACACTAAACACAAACAGGGCTGCTGTGTCAGCAGCCACTATTTACAGGGAATTCATTTGCAGCACTCTTGGAAAGGAGAACAAGCCCAGACAGCACTGAAAATGGCACTTTGGAAATTTAGGCAGGAAAACACGCGGCAGAAAAAGTTAATTTCCCATTCACACAAATTTAAGGGTCACAGATTTGGCCAGAAGTCATCCCTGCTTCAGCTTTAGATGTGCTCTTCTTAAAGACAGCCCTCTATATCCTAATGGTTTTCACAATTTGTGTACCACAGAAATCAGAGCGGAGAGTACAATTGGGATCCTTTTGTAGAGAGAACTCAGTCACATCCTGGAAAGCATCAGCTCCAAAAGAGGGCTAGAGGCAAGCAGCTTTGATTCTAGCGTAATGCTCTGGCATAAAACCTTAAGGACAGTAATATACTGAAATGGGAAAGCAGCAAGCAGAAATCTTGGGAAGGTGAAACATGGAAGGTGATTTGGCTGGCTTCCCAACAGGGTGAGGAGATTTAGGACTTCAGCTAGCATGCTTCCTCTTAAAATCCTAGTTTTTGCAAACAGGATGTCAGGAGACTTAGAAATAATCATAAGTAGAAAAGAATTGTGAGCTTCTATTCCCTTGGTGCTCTTTAAAATCAGCACTTGGTACTCTGACTGTCAGTTGCCACCCTGGCAACACATAAAAGCCAAAGTGGAAATAAGGCTGGAGGAAGGCACAGCGGGTTTCTCCTGCCTCGTTCTTCCAAGAACTGAAATCAAACTCATGGACTGTGCAGTACAGAGAGGGCCTTCCGACAGCATGTGTGGTTTAGTTTCCACAAACTTCACTGAAGAGGAAGGAAGGAGAAACTCTAATGAAAACCTATGGGTGAGCAGTGAGAAGCCAACAACTATCTGAATTAGGAAGAGACATCCAAAGTAGGCAACGCGAAAGTCTTATTACAGAGCTTTAATGCAAATCAGCTAGAGAATAAACTAAGAGCAATTAGCCTTCAGAGACTAGCATGAGATTTCTTGCTCTGTGAGTGAAAGGTTGCTAAGCAAAGAGATAGCCTTTTCTGCTTTCCACCTGTAATTAACTCTACGTTAATCCTTAGAGCTTTACACACCATTTCGCTGTGAGTTGTGATGGGTTGGATAAGAGCATGGCTGCTCAGAGAAAGCACATCTGAGTAGACATAGGAACCTAGAAAGCCCAAAATAGAAGCACTATAGATGTTTTCTGTGTGGCAAATCTCTATAACTGAGAGTGCTCTGAGCGCCCATCCAGAGACACAGACATGTAAATCTAAGCCAAGGACAGAGACATACCAACTATGAAATTCAAGCCAATGACATTACTTTTCCCAAAGCTTCCACTGGATTTAGCTCAGATTAAATAATGGCATTCCCAGCCTTGAGGCAGCTCAGATCTGGTTGTGCAGGAGAGTTCCTCTTCATCCACACCAAGGCAACACTCCCTCCTGTGTCTTTATCTGTACATTGGGCAATCAGGTATACAGACCAACATGAGAGTTCCTCCATTGCCTCACCAAAGGGGCCAAAGGAGACAAGACAGGCACTTAAAGCACATTAAATCTTTTTCCTATCTTCCATTCAAAAAAAAGTAACATACTAGTGGCATCCACACATAGCTGTGGCCAGACCCAAAAGCAGCTCTCAGAACACCTTGTATTCTAGAAAGGTGGTTGTGCACCACACAGCTCAGGGAAGGACAGCTCGTCATGCCCACACTGATTTCCTGCTCAGAAAGGCAAGTATAGTGTGCATGATCTGATTTTTGCAAGCAGTCCCTTCAACTACGTACACAAAGCCTACGTGCAAACCTTTAAGGGGCCGGATGGGTCTGCAGGCAGACAGAGCCAGGGAAAGGAGCAGCAGCAAGAAGTCTGACTCCAGGCATTTTCTGCCTCCTCAACAACTTAATGCAAAATACAGAAAAAGTCCCTGGAGCAAAGAGCAGAACTAGGAATGTGGCACCATCAGGGGAATGCTGTCATCATGGGCTACAGAGCCAGACTCTTCTTGGCACTTCTCTTTGAGTCTTGATTTTCTCTTTGCACAGCAGCTCTGCTTCCAAAGGTGGGGCCAAAGAATCTCCATTTCCAGCTACTCTGTGGCTTGGTAACTCTGGTCAAGGGAAATTTAACTTGAACTGACAAGACAAACCTAACAGTTTCAGGCTGAAGAAAGTTATGTCCAATCTTTACCCTTCCATCAGCAGCAGTCTGGTAGAGAGCAGTCCTCAGAGACATTTGGTTAGCTGAGAAATTGGTATTTTGGGAGCTGAGCAGACAGGGCAGAGGGGCCCCACAGCTTGTATGTTGCATTCCTGCACCCCAAATCACCCTGCAGAGATATAGAAGGTGCTTGTGCCACAGGCAAGGAGAGGCAAAGTGCTCTGCTTGATCTCTTTGATTGTCAATGGTCTGCTGAGATACAGCCACACTGCCCCTAGTGTGAGAACCTTCCACAGGGATAAACATGTGATGGGAAACACTGGGGTTCTCATAAGCCCTTCTTCTGTGCCCTAAATACACAGTTGTTATAACGTGGAAAACCCAAGTACTTGAATTCTTGCCCTTTCTTTAAGGAAAGAGAAAAAGGGAGTCTTCAGAAGAAAGGCTGCCACATCAACATACAGAATAAAGATGGGAGCCCTTAAAGGAGTTCTTTCTCTAACAAAGGGCAAGTATTCAAAAGCCTTGTGTTTTCCATGTTGCAACACCAAAATTTTCCTGGCAGGAAAAAAAATATCCCCACAACCCAAGACAAAAAGCCCTCTTCAAGGTTGCAAAATCCAAGCGATCAAGGGAGGAAAAATACTGTGTACACAAATGAGAGAATGAAAGCACAAACTTTACTTGAATTTTAATTATTTCAATGACATTACCCAAAGTTTAAAGAAATAAAACAAGTGAGCTGCAAAGCAACCATTTTGCCTGCAAGTCTAAAGTGACCTCTGCTCTCCCTCTGGCCTCATGGCTGAATTGTTCCCAAGCTTCCCAAAGAGAAAAGCAGACAGCCTGTCCAGAGATGACTAGCAGCAAAAACCCTCTGCAAAAAGGAATGCATGGGTGACATAGGTGGAGAGAACAGAAAGAGAACCCAGAGAAAAGGACAGTGCTTGCTGCTATTCCATGGGGATGCACAGCAGGTCCAGCCCAATGCAAGGACACACAGGGACTGAGATGGGGACTTGTAAAAAGAGAGAGGAGGAAAAAAAAAAAAAAGAAAAGAAAAAAGGGAAAACTAAAGATAAGTAGTAGGAAGACAACTTGTGGTCAGTGGGAATTTCATCTTAAAGATTCTGGTTGAAGGAAAGAGGAGAAAGAGACCACAGTTACCCAACACACAGGCACAATTCCTTGCTCTGCTGCTACCAACTGGCACAGCTCTACCAGCAGCTAAGGGTTTAGCCCAATTCATCACCATGCCCAAGCCATCTGTCTGTGGCCACCACTTCCTCTCCTCATCACCACCTTTTTACCTCCACATGGTTTACGAACTACAAGAAATTTGGAACCATTGGGAATTTTTCCTGTATTGATACTCCACTTTTGGTTTCATGCCCAGATGAATAATTCCAGATTGACACTTCACAGCCACATCAAAAGAATCCTCTGCTAAGTCAGCCTGCACGCAGAAGGGAGCATGCCAAATTAATGACAGCAACTCAACTGGAGCAACACCTAATCAAAGCAGATTAACCCTGGTCCCCACTTAATTCTGACCTGATGCTTCTACACAGCACCTGCATGTGGATGCATTTAACCAAGAACATCACCATGCTGATTTCAGTATGAACAGCAAGGAATAAATGAGGATAACACATGCAGAGAAAATTGGAGGCTGATCTCAAAGCCTTGTTGGAGATGCAGAAATCTAAAACAAGGGCTAGCCACAAGCTGCCTGTACATCTCTTATGCAAGTTAAGTGCCTTGTTCCACTCTATGGCACTCGTCCTCCAAAGAGTGAATTGATGGTCCCAGAAAACTGATGTTAAGGCCACCAATCAAGTATTTCTGCACTCAGCAGCCAAGCTGGACTTGAATACACCAAGTACAGGTTGCTCAGTGTCCTGGGAGGCATGAAATTATCACAGATTCTTCTCTCTTAAGAGCATAAGGACAGATAACTCACCCATGCCAGAGAGGAAATGGGTAAAAGATGAGTATGACCTCAGGCTTGTCTCTAAGGTCTAAAATCTGAAATAAAAGCCCATTCTGTTTAAGTCTACTATCAATGAGAGACTTCAATGGAAAACAAAAAAACCCAAGTCAAACACTTAATCAAGCTGCCACCTGGGGCTATAATGCTATCAAATGTGTAGGTTTTCACAGAGGGAAGCTGAATAGCACAAGGTAGGGATTTTTTAGTGCATTTTTTGTTAATTTTGTTTTTAACCAACATAATGCTAGTTCAGATATTAAATGCTGGACACTTTGTACAGAACTGCTCAGGCTACAGCCAGGAAGAGAACGGCCTGTATGTTTTTTGTTTTTTTTTTTTTTTAATTTATTAAGTTGTTGGATGCCAATATATATATATATATATTTTAATCAACTATTTCTACAAACTTAGAAACTTATGGTACCCCTCACACTACGCCCTCACTAGGCAGCCTTATCTTCTGTTTCCTATTTTGAAGGTGGGCAGGGTGAGGCAAAAGTCTCTGCTGGTTACCTCCCTTTCCTCCCCCACAACAAGCTCTGAGGAAAAAAAAAAACAAACAAAAACACACAAAAAAACCATAAAGAACTTAGCCATAAAGCCAACTGGAATGTCTAGAATTCATCATGATGAATCTGTACCCTTTCTATCACAATTGTCCCTAATTTTATACCCAAATTGATTCACGCAGCCATGTGTAACCACAAAAAGAGCAGCTGCCCAAGCGTATGAGAATGTCTTAGATCCAAGTCCCATGACACAGAGCTGTGGCAGGAGACACATGTGATAGTCAGTCTTCAGGCCCTGTTTCTACTGGGCAGATGCTAAAGGCTAAGCTTATGCTTGTTGGAAAACAACCTCCTTCCACACTCCCACTTCAGGTCAGATTTTTCTTGGATAAAAATGTTCAGTGAAAGATCCCTGAAAGGCTGCTTCAGTCAATACCAACGTGTACAGTAATTGATACCAAAAGAATAGAATATGAGGCATACCAGAGAAAAATAAAGGTAATTAATTTTAAAGGGTTGGATTATGGACTAAAGAGATATACATGAGAGAATGGATTTAATTTATAACAGGATCTTTTTATTTATTTATTTTTTAAAGCAGCACTAGCATTTAACAAACAAGTTACAGAAGTACATTATGTGATGGCCAACTGAGAGCAGGTATCTCTGATGCAGATAACATCATGAGACATACTTGCAAGGGAATATTTGTGAAGTAGATGTCCATTAGTGACCAACTGTGACATGTAAATGAGCAAATGTTGGCAAGATTAAGTCATATTTAAAAAAAAAAAAACAAAAAACTGAGTTAAGGCTGTTCTTTAACACCTTGGAGGTCATGGGGGCCATCCGTACTCAAAAAATTACATCTGATAAACCCTTAAAAGTACAACTAAGATCTCAACTAGACTGAATTTCTGGCCTTCAGGGTAAATTGTGTAACCCTCCATGTTCCACCAATGATGCCAATCTCTTGTTTTTCCTGTCCTCATACACCAATTTTACATATGTTAAGACAACAGTCATTTTGAATGTCTTCATGGTAAGACTGTTGAGGTAGAAGCCTGCTGCAAGTCAGCTTAGATTTGGTTCAGTGCACTTGGGTAACTAAGGCACAAAATACTTGCTTACTTCATGCACAACCTAATTATTATATAAAGCCAAACAAAATTTTTAGCATTTTGACAGCAAGACTGCCCTTAGAGCTCTCATCTGTCTTATGCAGCACAAACAGAAAAATCACAGTTTTAGGTAAAAACACAGCTTCTTTCTCACTTGCAGAATCAAATGGGTGGGTGTGTTTTTTTGCTCTGTGGTTGTGGGTTTTTTTAATTGAAAAATTAATTAAAAAAAAAAACCAAACAATTTTTCTTCAGAGAACTGAAAAACCCAAGTTACAGAAGCTCTTTAGACTGCTACTCATATTTAAGTGATATAGGTAACTAGATATGAGAACATCACACCTGCAAGATGGGAGTTGAGAGATACTACAATTCTTCCCTGTCAGTGGATGAGCTCTGATTAAATGCTCGTTCTAGTTATAGCCCTTATTCAGTTGCCCTCTTACCAGTATTTCCCAGGACATAAGCTATCTACCAGGGATGCTTACCCCAAATGTCATTTTCAGCATGGTATAACCATGCACAGACATAGCCTAAAGCTCCATGCTGTGGAGTTCACAGTTGGCAGAGCTGTGGGGTAGTAGTTTTTGAAACACAGCCAGCTACAGCAATCACCCGTGCAAACTGTACTAATCACCCGAGAAGACACTGTACTAATGGGAAAGTCTAGAGTTTCTCAGCAAAACAACACAGCAGCTCAGCATTACCTACGAGAAGAAAGCATAGATTTAACTAGAAGTTATATGCTATTTTCTTCCCTGCAGCACTGTTGAAGCACATGGCGTGCTCCCTAAAGCCTGTTTAGGTCAACTCTACCAGAGGAGGTCACCACAGTGGCTCACAGCCTGTCCACACAACCCTAACAAATCCTTCTTGCTAAATGCAAAGGATTGAAATAGGTGCCCTTTGGTCATTCTGAAGACTGACAAGATAGATGGAAGCAGCCTGGAAACCACCACTCAACACAATCTAGTGGTTTTCACACTCCTTCAAGAAACAGCTCTATGCAGAACTGGAACCAATGCAGACAGAAGTAGAAGCTTTTCTGGAGATCAGCTGCAGACCACATGCTACTGTTCACAGGACAGCTTGTAATAAAATCCCTGGCAGACTGCAGCACAGGAGGAACACAGAAGTACAACATGCTGTGGAAGATACTGAGGTCTACCTGTTCTCACGTTTAGCAAGAAAGGGGACCACAAGTGTGGCTTGCTCACCGTCAAGAATTGCCCATTGCCCGTCTATTTCTGTGTGCTTCAGGTAGGAATCTTCAATGGTTGGGTCATAGTCTGGCACAAAAATCTTTTGGAAGAACTGAATGGTGAGAGCACTCTTCCCCACGCCGCCATCTCCAACCACCACCAGCTTGTACGTGGGGAGGTTTTCGCTGGGAACAGCGCTGGTAGCCATGTTTCCACTGTGCTAAACCTGCTGGAGAAAGAGACCATCTCTGATTACTTGTTAGTGAAAAACAAGAGCAATGTGCATGAGGCAACTCTGACCACGTGCCTGAGAAGTGAAGAAGAGCTCCACGGCTGGGAACCAGGGGTTCTCCCCTCCATGCTAGCACTCACAGTCTTTCTGGCCCACAGCAAAAGCGTGTGCCCTCCCAACAGCTCCCTCACATTCCAGGCCCATCACTTCCATGGGCAGACAGCACCAAGCTGCAGTTCATTTACACAGGTCCCAGTCTATAATGCTAGCTAATCGTCACCAAACACATCCTGCTGGCAGACAAGAACACACTTAACTGCTTTCCTCTCTCTCAGCCTCAAGTCTGAGAAATGAAAACCAAGAAACACGCACAGAGGGCAGCAAGCCAGGAGCTACAGGTGTTTTTTGTTTTGCTCTTTTGGAAAAAAAAAAAAACTGCCCTGGCAGGAAGGCTGGTTTTGTGGCTGTGACACAGCCATGAGAATCAAGAGATGAGCTTCCCCTTGTGTGTGGCCTGTCCCCCAAGATGACAGCAGAAGAATTGATTTTTTTTAAGAGACAAAACAAAGTCACTGGGTGCAACTGGGCAGCAGCACATGTGAGTGCAAAGAGGCTGTGTTGGAGGGAATGCTCAGACTGTCATAAACTATCAGCATCCTGACTGGTATCCACATTAAGCTACCAAGAGCTTGTTGGGGGTTCCCAGTAACTGTAGGGATTTTTCTCAACTAAGAGCACTTCCTAGCTTTGTTGGCTGGCAACGCTAATCATGGCAGGGGGTTGGAACTAGACGGTCTTGAAAATTCCCTCCAACCTCAGCCATTTTATGATTATGACCCTCCAAGTTTAGTCTTCGCTTTCTCTAGTTCTGTCCCAAAGCACTATTTCAGTTTATTGCAGATTACTGAACCATAAAGGCAGTTCTCACTTACAGTGCTTGGGAGTCCTGAGTTCCTTATTATATAGCAAAGATCCTACCCTTCAACAAAGAGCTTTTCACAGCTCTGCTAACCAGCTTCTCCCCCCCACTATACACCCATGCATTCAGGCAAACACATGAAAGGAAGCAAAATAAAATCAGATGTGAATATTCGAATTTGAGTTTGTTTTACTTACGGAAAAAAGATTCTCAGGCCAAAGCAGCCTGTAGAATCTAAGATGTAATAAAAAATGTATCCCCTGAAATATTTGGTGTCAGCAAGTGACCCCAAAGTGTGCTGTGAGAATGCTGTTCAAGTCATAGCAATGCTCAAAGACAACATAAAGATAATGCAATGATTCACTATACTGCATACATGCATTTTTGCCTGCAAACAGACATTAGCACAAGGTTTATGTATTCGTTTTTTAAATGACAGAGTCTTCTCTCCTCCTTTCTGCCCAACGCTACTTTACGTATGACAAAGTACAGCTTGTGTCAGAGGTGCTTCTGAAAATACAGAATAACTTGCCATATGCATAAGCTCTATGTTGGTACAAGTTGAGCGCCTTGACCTCTAACTAAGGCTATGTAATAGACCTCTTCTGGGGCCAAATGTATAGGAACCACCCTAAATTTTCCTCTAAAAACAAAGCCCTGTTGAAAAGAAAAGGGGTTACCACAGAGGTGAGATCGCTGGGGCTGGTGGAACTGCCAAGACTTCTTGTCAAACAGTTGACACAAGCCAACGTTTTCAGAGTAAGGAGAAACACAACCAAGCCAGCTTGTGTCTAAACTGTCTGGAAAAATTCTTGAAAACAGCATTACCACCTTTAGCAACAGCAGATACATGGAGAGAAGGTGATGAAACACAGCTCTGTTCTCACCCACTCTGATTTCAACTCCTCAGTACAATCCTGAGGGAAAGTTTCTTACCTCTGTTTTACTAAGCGATTTTTCTCATGTTTACGAGATCACACTATGAACAGGCAGCATGCTTGGTTTGCAGGAACCTACCAATTTCAAGCATCTCTCTCATGCTGGCTTGCGAGATCAAGCTTTATTTCAGCATTACCATGCTAGAGTCAGAAGATCCTTAGAGGCTCCTTAGAACTAAGACTGTATAAAAGCTGTCCTCAATCACTTCCCAACACATTTGACAACTATTTTTTTGCTTTGCCTGTGGCCGCAGCTTCACCCTTCCTTTATTTACACTGGAGCGCCCAGGAGTCAGCCACCCTGTGCGTCTCCAATGTGCCGTATGAAAGACCGACTGTTGCTCACAATGCAGAGGACAGGACACAGATGTGAAAACCACACTTGGTTTGTGCACAGTTTTGACCTCCTCACAAAACCGCAAGCTACTGCTCAGCAGCATTTAGTACCAGCCCCTTTAACTCCCTCCTGAGAAGCCTTGAGCTTATCTTGCATGGAACACTTCCCAAAGTACTAACATAATATTTAGCCCATTGTACAAACTGACTGTCCAACACGTAAGGGGTCAAATCAGTGTTTACTTGCAGTTACTTCATTATACCATATGTTTAAGTTCCAGACTGAGCAACATATAGCCTGCAGAGAACCAACCAAAATATAACTGGGAAAATAAAACTAATTAAAATAAAAAAATAATAAAAAATAAAAAAAAATAAAAAAAAAAAATCAATCAGGCACTGTAAGCTAGTTTGTTGAGTACAAAACCTGCATTTAGGTGATGTCAGCATGAATGGACAAAACCTTCTATCCTCGTGTCAAGATTCAGCACATGAACGTTTCTGCATGGGTGTTTCTACTGTGTCAGCATTCATCAGCAGCAGTGGGGCCCCAGCATTCTGCCCAGTTGTGCCATCATCAGCACACTGCTGAAGGTCCCCTAAGGCAATGACAGCCAAACTGCCCAAATCACTGGAGTATTTCCTAAGGAGTGTCCTTGTGCACTCTAGACATGAATGCGTGTTCTGGGTTCAAAGCCAGACAGTCACGTGTTTCAACAGACACCAGAAGTGTTCACGAAAAAGTTTCCATCTCAGAAGAGAAAGCAGCGCTCTGAAACCTACCAGCACATAATGCAAACCTCCAAAATCCGAGTACTTCCATATCTCTACACCTCCACCTGCCTTGACAATCAAAGCAAGAAGACAGATCGCGCCTTGATGAGATTATAATCTCAACCATCTAATAAATCAACTCTTGAAAACAACATATGTCACCTCCTGGAAAGCATTAACCACTTACAAAGGTGTGCAGAGCTTCATGCTGGCTGGTTACATCGCCATGGGCAAGTGCACAAGAGTCGGGCTGATTTTCATATGTTTTTGGCAGGAGTACTGACACAGCCTTTCTCAGAAGGGAGCAAGGAGGAATGTATTTGCTGTCGATTTGATTGAGAAAAACAAAACAGACATTTTTTATCTATTGTCTGAATACAAAGCAGCATGTGGTAATACACTAATAAGCTGTGATGATAATCATCTTACAATTTATACAGCTGTTTATTTTGAAGCAGCCAAGAGAGCGATGCATACAGACTCTGGCAGAGCTCTGGTTAAGTCACTGGTTGGAGGCAGATTTATGCAGCCCCCCCTCCACACATGCTGGTAAGATCTGTGTTCTGACAGCACAAACCCCTAACGCTGAGACAGAGACACGGCCACTTTTAGGAGAGACAGCAAGGAGAAGGAGAAACAGTGGCCCATCAGTGCCACTGTGGTTGAGCACTCCTCAGCAAGAAGGATTTCAAATACAGAGGCAGAGTGAATGGAGTAAAACCCCATTTACCTGTCTGGACGTGGGTGGAGTGGAAGGGGCTGAGAGAGATACACGAAGCTGATAATGGAGAAATTCAGCGTAGCTAATGCAACCAATGGGTCACAACACCATGGATGTGCTGCACATCACCATGGGGAAACTTGCCCTGAGTATAAATGAGGTAGATAGCAGCTTGTGTAAGCCATTATAACTCATGCTGATTGGAGCAGAGGTGGAGCTCTGTGCCACAACAGCGAGACCTGCCCCAGATATGTGACAGTTAATGTATGAGTGCTCCTGCCCTGGCTCCAGCTCCACTCTCCCAGAGGCAGAGCTCCCAGGGCAAAGCCATCATCTCAGGTAAAGAGCTCAGAATCAAGCTCTGGATTCACAGCTGAGGTTATAGCAATTAAAGGCATCAGCTCCCTGACAGAAAAGCCCAGCATGACAGTGATTTATGGTCTCCATGGCAACACATGACAAATTGCTTAATTCTGTTATGAAACCTCAAGCTGCAGTGGGGTCTGTGTGGGAGCGACCAGCTCCCTTTTCCTCACTACGGCTCTTCAAAAATGACAACTGTAGGGAGCTGCTAGAGCAATAGGCCAAGATTAGCTTATGCATACATATTTATGTTGATCAGCCTATCCTCAAGCAAATTTGCCATTGCTGGTTTGCTTTGGTCCATGGATTGCTTTTCACAAGTCTTGCCAGAGCTCTGCATACCTGAGGACACCAGCCCCACCTGAGGCCAAGGAAACCACCAATGCTGCCAACTACTCCTACAGTTGCCATTAATAACTCTTCCGTAGCCACAGCCTACTTGCTCACACCCTTTCACCCAGTCACTTCACAAGCATTAGTGACTCCCTGTGATGCCTCTAGGGCTGAAACTCTGCAAGATCTGAACACTTCCCTCTCTGTTTCTCTTGCAGGCTGCTGGCTGCAGCCACACTGCTACCATGACACACCCAGAGATGTTAGCCAGGTACCAAAATAGTTTGGCTTTGCACCTTGGAGGCAATCGCTTGGACTGGAAGCTACTGAAAATCCTTGAAACATGGGATGTGCAATTTTTGCAGGGAGCTGTCTCCCTAGAGCCATGCTGAGTGAACTTTAGTAATTTCTCCCTCAAGTTGGCATGACTGCCTTCCAAACCTTTCAGAGCCAAAGGACCTGCAGGTATACAAATAACCACTGACAGCTGTTACTTAATAAAGATGATTAACTCTTAGCCAGGCTTCCTTCAGTCCGTCAGTGTTCCTGCTTGGTTGATGCCTCCAAAAGGATACACTGAGCAAAAGCTTGACCACATGAAAGTGGGAAATCA